CCTTTCTATACTTTTAGGTACTCTTGATAGCACTCGACGACTTCTTTAGTATTGTAACCCTCTATCATGGAGCCCTCTAGGTATGCTCGATTATGCACGTATCGACTTAGAACCGACATGAACCGCTCGTAGGACCATATTTCATGCAAGTAGTAAGGGCCCAGTGCCTGTATCTGATGAACCATGTGAATCATGAGATATGGCATTATATCAAAAAAAGCAGGAGATAAACACATCTCTAGTTGGTTTTGTGTCTCCACCACAAATTCATGTAGGTCACTCAGCTCTTGCTTACCAATCATCTTCTGTGAGATCTTCGAAAAGAAGTAGCACATGCGGGTGATGGCCATTTTCAAGAACTCTGGCTTTATAGCCCTGATTGCAATAGGTAGAAACACTGTCAGCATCACATGACAATCGTGAGCCTTGTAGTGTGTTATTGACAAGTCATTCATCGACACTAGCTTCTTCACATTTGCTGAAAACCCAGTCGGGACTTTGACACCCCTCAGGAAAGTGCATATAGCTCTCTTCTCGTCTGGTGTTAGGTTGAAGCACGCCGCGGGTAGAGTGTATTTTCCATTAGCCTTAGGTACCGGGTGAAGCTGTGACATCATGTTTACCTGCACCATGTCTTTCTGTGCTTTCAGACCATCCTTTGACTTGCCTATGTCCATTAAGGTAGCAATGAGACTATCAAAGACATTTTTCTGCACGTGCATAGCATCAATGGCATGGGGGACCTCCAAGTCTGGCCAATAAGGCAGATACTGAAGAAGATCGATTGTTTCTTAAAAGGTACGCCTTCGACAGGAGGTGTGCTTCTATCTCTGTTCGTCCCATCCAAATTCTTCTTTCCATAGACGACGCATATGTTTTTCACCATTCTATACACGTGTTCTCCATTATGACGTCTCTCCGGAGGGGGTTCAATCTCCGGGGTGTTGTCATAAAATCTAAAGATCAATTTGCTGCGGTACTTGTGACTTGTCTTTAAGAAGCGTTGGTTCCTTAGGTAAACTATCTTCTTGGATGCATCTAGGTACACCCATGTAGTACCATCCAAGCAAACCAAGCATCACGTCTTCCCTTTGATCTATCCAGACAAAGCAAACAGCGCGGGGTAATCATTGGTAGTAACAAATATTATTACTCTACATATGAAGTCCTCCTTTCGAAACGCATCATACATCGGCTCCCCATGCCTCCATAGCCTCTCTATTTCTTGCATCAAAGGCTCGAGGAACATGTCTATATCAATGCCTGGTTGTTTAGGGCTAGAAATAAGAATAGTGAGGAGAAGGTACTTTCTCTTCTGACACAACCATGTTGGGATATTGTACATGGTCAAGATCACTGGCCAAGTGCTGTGGTCGCTCATCCTCTCATTGAAGGGATTCATTCCATCGGTGCTCAAGCCAAAACGTACATTCCTTGGGTCATCGCTGAATTATTTATGCTTCTCATCGAACCTTTGCCACTGACTATAATCAGTCGGGTGTGCAATCTTATCATTATCCACCTTGCGCTCATCATCCCACCATGTCATGAGTGTGGCTTCTTTAGGGTTTAGGAAGATACGTCTCAAGCGGTCGGGCACTGGCATGTACCACATTACCAAGGCAGGAATTCTTCTCTGCTTTGCATTGTTGCCTAATGGAGTGTCCTCTGGGGGCTAAGATTCTTGTGCCACCTTTTTTGTACCCTTCTTATTCCTCTTTTTCCCTGTGGAGGCTTCGTCCCCACCGTAAAGGTCATTGTTCTTGTACCGGCTGGCCCCACACCGGGGACATTTATCCAGTGACTTGAACGTTTCGCCATGAAAAAGTATACAATGATTGGGGCATGCATGGATTTTTTAACCCCCATTGTCAATGGACTTATGACCTTCTTCCCTTGGTATGTGTTGGCGGGAACAGAGTTTGGTTGTGGTAGCACCCATGACAGGAGATGCAATAGATCATTGAAACTACAGTCTAACCAGTCGTACATAGCCTTCAGGATGAGTAGCTCAAGCACAAAACGTAGCAATGTCCAATGTATCGGACAACCCTTTTCAACACCATACACAGTCTCCTTCGATGCTTTTGTCATCCTTTCCAAATTTTCTAGACCTTTCGAGCTATTTAGTAAAATCTCTAGTCCAAGGGCTCGAATCATGTCCTCCAAATCATCTTCATCCCGGACATGTGCTCCACCATCATTATTGGCACCACCTTCGTCGTTACCATCCCAACCACCAGCATCACCACCTCGTTCATTGTCAAACTCCGAATCCATTCGTGCATCAAGCTATGCTGAATATTGGGACAGGGATTCTAGGGTTTCATCGTCGTATTCCTCCTCATCCTCGTCGTTAACAATAACCGTTTTCACCATGATGAATCCACACTGTGTAGTCCTCAACAAATCCTCGCATAATCAAATATGATCTAATGATAGTCACATCTGTCCATGCCATACGGTTCTTGCAATCTTTACAGGGATAAATAATTGTATCCTTATTCTTTGTCAATGTCGTTGCATACTTCTTTGCGGCTTCAATAAATTTATCCACCTCTTCACGGAAACCTGCCTTAAACCTTAACGAACCATACATCCAAGAGTTCCTGTATTCCATCTTTTACAACAACAACAAAACAAACATTAAAGGACTACTTATTCAGATATATATATATATATATATATATAAATGAATCAAATTAATAATTACTTGAGAATAATTGTATATACTTCAGATATATATGAATATAAATCAAATATAATTACATGAAGCATACAAACACACCATGGTAGAAGAAAAATTATTAATGACCCATTTATCCATTAATAATTAAAATACATATTTGTTGATTACAATAAACAATTTCAAAGACAACAATTAGCAACAATTATATTTTACCCAATATCTTTCATGCAAACCCTAGTCCAATTTCATCAAACACAAATTTACAAAACTGAAATTAATAAAAAACCAAACCCTAGATCTAGATCTACATGCACATGAAACATCCATAAAACTAACTAATTGTTCACTAAAATCAAAAAACATGGACCAAATAAGGGTATGATCTTGTTCCCCTCCCTAATTTACCCTAGTACATTCAAAACTTAGGTCTAATTTGCTTCATAAGTAGCTCAAGCACCATAGAAGAGAGAGAAAAGCAAAACTCTAATTACTCACTAACCAACCATTAAAACTTCAAAAAAAAGTGTGGAATAACATTTTCTTACTATCTATAACCTCTCCACCAAAGGATTTAAGACCAAAACCTTCCTCCCTTAATAGAGCAATTTTTGGGAGGTGCCCAAAGCCTCCCCACCTTTCTTTCACGGGTTGGAGTGAGTGACCCGAGGAGGAAGAAGGTGGTGCAGTTTGCTTTATATGTGGGTCATTTGTAGGGGCGGTTGGTGATGGAACCGCCCCTACAAATCGGAGGTATTTATAAGTGGGCATTTGTAGGGGCGGCTCACTGACCAGCCGCCCCTACAAATAACAATACCAGGGGCGGCTGGTGAGTGAGCCGCCCCTACAAATCCGACCCATTTGTAGGGGCGGCTCGTATGACCAGTCGCCCCTGCTGTTCCATTTCAAGGGGCGGCTGGTCTCTGGGCTCCCGAGCACGCCACTGTAGGGGCGGCTCCATCACCAGCCGCTCCTACAAAAAAATTACCCTGTTGCTACAAACCGTTTTTTACATAGTGGTAGCAACAAATGAAGTCTCATTTGTCACACTAATTGCTTCATTCAAACATGACACATTGCTGGTCTTCATGCTCAAGTAGTACATCTTTGAAAGACATACAACCTAGTATAGCCTAAAAAATATATGAATAAATTAGTTATATAACTTTTGGTAACACAAGACAGCTGCCAAATTAGTAGCGAATTGTGTGGGTTCATGGTGTTCCCAACTCGAGCTAGTGTGGGCAGCTGGTCTTACCAGTGGGGGCAAGGCTGCACAGAGCTTGGACAGCTCAAATCTGTGCTGGCAGTGTTTTGCCGGACTGTTCACCAGAGCAGGTGTTCGTGCAGACTGATAAGTCTGAAGTTGTGCATTTTAGAACGGTCCAGGGTGTTCTATCGGATTGTCCGTGGATGCACGATAGAGCCCAGAAAATGCAGAATTTTGTTTGCAAGTTTTCCAAAATTGAGATTAATGTCATGTTCGCTTTGCTTGTAAGCCGTACTTTTTCAGCCAACAAACAATATTTTTCTCTCACAACAAATCAGCCAACATCACTTTTAGCCATGGCTTATCAGCCAAGTGAACATGGCATAAAATGCTAATGATGCAATGCTTATGCATTAGTCACGACCGGGTCGTGACAATAGGCCTCTAACCTAGCCCCATCCAAAGAGTTCCAGATAGCACTGGAAGCATTCGGTGAAGCATAGCTATTTTTGTAGTAGCTATTGACATATATGTTTTGCATTAATGAATAAGTCTAATGTAAAATCTTCTGTCAATATTTCAAGGCAAAGTTAAAGCCAACTAGACAAAATATTTAATAAAGTCAGGTGAAATATGTAAATGTTTACGTTATATACACTTCATACAAGCATAAATAGTAAAAATAGTGACAAACATATTCGATTGCTGTGTTTTTGCCACTGAATATGGCACTAGACACTTAACTGGTTCATGAATAATTATAATGGATGACTGGCCAATGAAGCTTGAGAGGCACATCTAACGTGGCAAACCAGCACTTGACAGAAACTCTTCTTCTAAGCTGTAGAACTTTTTGCTTTGTTGAGATGATGCACATCTATGTTTTTTCCAAAATCCATACTAGACAATTGAATGCTACCTATATTCGTTTTTGTTAACAAGGTTTGTCTTTCTTCATCTATTCCAATGTTAGCTTCATTTATTTCGACTCGTTTTGACCTCAAAAATTGTAATGCCGTCTCCACTTGTTTCATAGTAGGCCTTTTGTCACTTTGGAGTCTCAAACACATCTCCACGAGTGAGGCAACACAATTGATTTCTTCCTCATATGCTTCCCTCAAGAACTTGATGAGCCACTATCTCTGAAATAGGCCTACCCTTCATCTCCCATAGAAAGTAGTTTGACAAGTTTTGCTTCAGACCTGACTCAGTTGTGATAATAGGATCCATTCTTAAAAGCAATTCCAGGAGTACCACACCAAAACTATAAACATCACTCTTGTCGTTTAACTGCCCAGTATGGTAATACTCTGGATCCAAGTACCCAAATGTGCCTTGGACATTTGTAACAACATGTGTTTGGTCAATTGGAACTAATCTTGAAGCACCAAAATCTGACACTTTAGCCCGTGTAGTTAGAATCAAGGAGAATGTTGGATGACTTAACATCACGATGGAAAACTGATACTGAAGCTGCAGAGTGAAGATAACAAAGAGCGCCAGCAGCTTCTGCCGCAATTCTGAGACAGCTATCCCATGATAAAACAAATTCATTGCTTGATTCAGCATGAAGTATCTCGTATAGTGAACCATGAGGGATAAAATCATAGACCAATAGTGGGACTTCAGTCTCAAGGCAGCAACCAAATAGCTTAACAATATTCCTATGATTTATTTGGGAAAGAATTGCAACTTCATTGATAAACTGATTGATCTCACCTTCCTCAATGATCTTAGACCTTTTTATTGCCACCACACGTTGGTCAGATAGGATGCCTTTATAAACTGTACCATGTCCTCCACGGCCTAGGATGCGAGTGGAATCAAAGTTATTTGTTGCCTTTTCAAGCTCCTCCAAGGAAAAAATCTTTGTCTTCTCGGTAGCATTTACGTCAGTTAATATTAATTGTTCGAGAAGAAGACCTTTGTTTCTTCGGAAATAGTTCCTTCGCATTCGCTTTTGAATGTTTCTTCTCCATCTGCGGGTAAGGTATATCGCACTTACACTTAGAAGTAGAACAGTAAGACCACTGCTCACTCCAATGACAATACCTGAAATTTTAGGTTGATAAGTTTCAGTTTAGACATAATTCCTCCTATGCCACTGTTAAATTTCATAAATTGGGATGTGCCGTTGCATGTCGTATTTAACCATATAACTAGGTCAAAAGCATGGCTTACCTACGAGAACATTCTGTTGTTTCACTGAGGAGCACTGCAATTTTGTTGGATCATATACTGTCTTCTGGGGGCATTCCGTGCAGTTGTAGCTTCCTATAGTATTGTAGCACATCATCCCATGGCATTTGCTTGGATCCTTACATTCATCAATATCTACAAATTAACGAGATAATTTTTTCCTTAAATATTAAAGTTGTATAAAATCATTCCTTTGTTTCACTTGCTGAAATTACTCCCTCGGTTTCCTGATGCAATATCTAGAAATTCATAGGATCTGTAATTGTCTCAAGAACATATGTTGGACTGTCATGGTAAAGATCCAAAATTTTAAATGCGATAAATGTCAACATTAATTGAAAAATATGTTTTAGGTTGATCCAGCTCAATGCAGCAGTATTTTTGAGAGAGTTTCATTATGGATGTTATTATCAATAGTGCATATCTGTGGAAAAAATATATTAAAAATCATATCAGATATTTATTTTTGTAGTGTTTGTTTTCTAGCTGGTGGCTAGGCAGACTTATAAAAATGAACAAAGCTGTTCTTTTTAAAACATATATATTTAGCCCCTATTAGAACAATTGTGCAATGAGATCCAAATAAACTTTGCGAAACAAAATAAGGTATAGTTTGATTACCTTGACAACCATTTTTGACGTAAGGATTTCCCTCAAAGCCGTTGGAGCATTTGCATTGGTAGCCAACATATCCATTATTGGTAGTATTGACTGGGATGCAATTGCTATTGGTACTGACACATGCGTATCCAGATCTATTTGCCTGTGCGTCTTGACAAGTTAGATTAGCAACAACCCATTTCAAAGAAACGGACTCACCGGAATCAACGAAAACACCAGGGTCGTCACGAGTTACTGACACAACTGATCCTTCGTCTATATCTGGGAATATGAATTTTATGAGCCCGTTCTCAACATCAATTTCTGTCACCACAAAAGAGTATCCCAGTAGGAGGGTGGAAGACGTCTCATTTGTGCAGTTCAAATAAAACTGTTCCCTTGCATAACAACCTTCTTCAATTCCAAATGGAAAAGGAACGGTGATGTTTCCACATAAACTGCGGCAATTGGGTTTTTGTTGAGCTGGGTTGTAACCTATATCACAAAAGTTGTTGCAAATGTTCAAAAAGGATAAATCATATATATGTGTAGGATACATCATACTTATAGCTAGCCGTCAGTCCTTGATATGGATAATGCACCGTACCACGAGGTATGCACCATTCTTAATTATACACACAGTGCAGACATGGTCTCGGTAAGGAATGTCCTCTGATATCACGAAAGTTATCATAAGTCGTGGTTTATTCTATCAGAAAAATCTAACTAGATATGACTACACGTTGACGCCTTGAATTGAGTCACACACCAGCAAGGGCTAGCGCGCCGAGTGGTCACACACGACCTAGATCGCAGCAAGAACGCAGTAAATCAGCGAAACCGACTAGCAAGCCGGTTAGGCCGATTCGATGCCTGTTCTTTGCTTGGTAGACTCTTGAACACCTCCTGGGAAGACCCGTCGGGGAGAGACACAACGAGGTTGTGTTAGGGTCGGCAAGGCCACCTAGAACACCGCCAAATCTCATCGAGGGCATGATGAACAATAGGGGTTTAGAGAGAGTAATGGTAAAAGAATAGTATATGTGTTTTTTGACGATTGGAAGTTGGATTCCTCAATTGGTCGTGATCTTCTCGTTTATATAGAGGGGGTGGTCTTATCCCAATAGGAAACAACTCCAAGACATGCCAACATATTTCCTATGTGAAAACACGTTCCAAAACCCAGTTGGAGTCCAACTGGTCTCGGAATAGCAGTAAAACCGGCCTGGCTGATTTTCACGGCGCCTGACCACTTTGCCGGGCCAGCTACAGGGGAACCAGCCTAGCCGATTTGGCCTAGTTTGGGCAGGACTAAGCCCAAATCCGTCCTTTCTTCGCTTGGGCTTAAGTTCTTGTTGTGCCAAATATTTTCCTCCATCGCCTTGACGTCAGGAACTTATTAGTGGGGCCCAATGTCCTCCTTAGCACAATTTTTATCGTCAACACCACGGTAGGATATAGTTGTTGGCTTTTGATCTAGCTTATTCTCAGAATACTAGATCACATACTGGTTTTGTTTTCCTACTTGGTGGAACCTTCTCGTGAAATCATCAAAAGAAACTTTAGTAGCTATTTTCACTGATTATTTTGAAATAATTGGATTATATGAAGCATCAAGACAATGCGTATGCCTTAGTAGAATGATTAACAATTATAGATCATGAAACTCCCTACTATTATTTACGTGATAATAATGCAGCTTGTGTCGCTCAAGTAAATTTAGGTTATGTAAAAGCAATATTGTAAAATATATTGCTCGTGCATTATTTTATCTACATGAATTGAAAGGGTGGGGAAAATATTACCAATATTGTTAAATAGAGTATATCTATTGACAAGCTTTACCCAACCGGTAACATTCAAAAAATATCTTATTTGGTATGGGATGACTTCGATGATTGTCGTGGTTAGGGTTATAATAAACTCCTAAGTTATGGCGTGTTAATGATCACTAAATCATGAAAACCCTCTCTCCCTGTCCAGATCTCCCTTCCAAGATCTATTTCTCCCTCTCTGTAGGTCTCCCTTGTAATTTGAGAAGCCTTTTATATTAATCGTATTGTTGTCGATAAAGTATTATGCTTGAGTTAATGATCCTTTGAAGGATTATGCATTCTCCCATTGTTGTTGTTGAGAAAATGTTTGTCCATGAAGGACTATTCGTCTAATTTTAAGGGGCAAGGCTGGTTTAGATAATGTTGAGGATTAAAAGGAGAGAAATGATGCATTACAAGATTAATAGAAGGGCTATGATAACGAGTTTATGGTGTTGTGTATGGTGATAATGCTTCTAACAAGGTTGAAGGCTAGGAGTGGATAGTGGCACAAGTGTTTCTTGGATCCATTGAGGCTCTTGGCAAACATACTTCCGAACACTAACTCTTCTCCCACCAACACTTATCTCACAGAAAAGGTTTACTATTCCACTATCAATGGATATGCGAAAGATACATGATGGATATGCAAAAGATACACACATGTCTAACCCTATATATCCTCTACCATAAAGAGTATGTAGACTTGGGTAGATGCCTAGTGTTAAGGCATGTTGGCATGAAAATAATGGCAAGTATGATGAGGATGAGATGATACTTCCAGCAACACAAAGAAGTACTATTTGTGAAGAAGAAGACACTTCTTCCAATGTAGAAAAGAAGAAAAGAAGCCCTTCCATAGTGATGTAGTACTTGCCAATTATCCCCCACCTATCTTGTTTGTTCTTGAATGACATTAACTATGAACTAGTCTATTGGCATTCTTTTGACAAGCACAAAAAGGATGAAAGATTTGACACCCTAGCAATGCTAGATAATGGAGACATATAAATCATAGTATCTAGCTATCGTTGGAGAAGCAAAATGTCTTAGTACTAATGGAATGTGTTGGTGTTTTGTCACTAGAATATTGATAACAAGGCAATGTGCATGTAGGGAAGCTAGATGGTGGAACAAAACTTAGATAGGTTCAAGCCCTCATAAGGAGGTAGTAGTACCATATACTGTATTTGTAAATGTATTGCTTGTGTTAGGTATGCAAGGTAGAAGATATAGATGTGTTGCTATACTATCAAGAGGCTCCCAATCCACCATATATAGGATGGGAGTAGGGTTACAAGATCCTCCCTCCTATGATTGGGTTTATAGATATGTTTTCTAATTAGTCACAATAATAGTATCCCGAGATATCTAGGAATAGTGTTTGTCAAAGCCTTGCTTTCCAAACTAGTTGAGATACACTGACATTATCTCGGGCCTCCGGTACTCGACCTAGGCCACCCACCATAGCAGCCCCAAATCCTTCACATTCAAGCTATCTTGCAATCTTCTTGATGTCCCTAGTGGATGTGTGTCGGGTTGAGTGGTTTCAACTTGCTCCCTGTAAATGTTTTCTAGAGTGATGTCCTCCTGGCATGCCGCTTTTTCTTTTAGGGAGATCACAAAGGATTTAGTGAATCTAATGTTCTTGAGTGATAGTAGCCCATAATCGGGTGTGCCCTCAAGAATGCATTAGTTTTGGGGATGTTCAAGTGGTATCCAATCTCTAGCAATTTGTGACCAACCTGGGACCCAACAAATGGGTGTACCATAAATTCCAATCAAACTCCCAAGTGGTATCTAGTTCCCGAGTGGTTTTGGGTCAACTATTGGCCCATAGAGAGCATACCCTCATAATTTGAGCCAAACCCAAACGTAGACTATAGCATTCAATCTCAAGTGGTTCGATAATTTACTAGTGACTCAATAGGGAGCATCCAACAATTAGCCTTTTTCTAGGTCTATCCGAGCAACTTAGAACATAGCAGGGGGTCAACACCTGAAACCTTGGTCAAATGGGAATTGAAGTTGAAGTGTTGCGCCCGGCCCCTTGGTACTATTTTACTTGAAATAGGGGTGACGTTCCCACCCCCTCCATAGTTACTTTTGTCTACATAACCCCTTTGAGCTTCCACATGATTTTCCATCGTGATTCCATGCCACGACCACTCAATCCCTCCCATGCTCCAATGCATCCTCCGCTCTCGGCCTGTAGCCTCCTTGCACCTCCAATCCAGCATAGCACAAACCATAGATCCATTTCAAGGTGAGAGGCTCCTTCAAGATCCCATTGCAAAGTAGGCTCAATCCATCATGACCACGACCAAGTTATAGATGCTAGTCGATATGGGGCTCCTACCACCACTGAGCTTCATCGACTGGTGTCCAACAGCAGGAAAGGCGCTCCCTGCACCAAACACTTGTGATAGAATTGTATTTGTCTCCTATTTCGAGAGTGGATTTTCACTCTCGATGTACCTTTTCTTTTGTGGTCACCTTCATTAATATGGTCTTGATCTCGTCAACATCAACTCGAATGGGATTTTGCACATTCTTTCCTCATTACATTCTATGAATGTTTTCTCAAGATCGAGACCCACTTTGGATTGTTAAAATACCTTTGACATGTCAAGACATGACCCAAGAAGACTAACCCATGAGTTGTTGGAGGCACTTGTATCCAACTCTAAGGCTAGGAAGACAATAAGTAGTTCCTCCTCCAATTCCTAACCTCCACAAGGGTTGGCACTCAGTGTTGTACTATTGCTCCAATGTTGCCCTAATGCTCCAACAGTACATCAGCCTCTATCCAGAGGCCAGTCTATCATGGATGTTCATGCTAGAAACCAAGGATATGTAGTAGGTGGACATGCTCCTTGGTGTGATTGAAGACCTCCAAAGCAAGGTCATGCATGGAGTCAAGGTCATTGCTAGTTTTCTCGGTCATCATATCTAGCCCATCAATCTCTAGGTCCATCCGATGCTCGAGTACACAGATGTGCATGACTTGACATGAAAGTCTAGGGCCTAGATATCATCTGTAAAGCTTGAGAAATGTGACACCATGTTTTTTTGTGTTGAGCACATACCCAAACAACCAAGGGCACCTAAAACCTCCGCGTTGGCCTTTCCTCCAACCAGGTAAATAGCTTCCTTTAGTATTCGACTTGTTTTCTCCTTACGTCCAAGCACTAAAACAATCTGGCCATTGATTGCAAGAGCTAGATGGATAGGTCTCCACGGTTCACCTCCTCGAGTAAGAAGAGAAGGAGCCAAAGAATAGGTCGGGTGGGTCTTTCACTAACTAGCTACCTCTAAAGAAGGCAAAGATGCTTGTCGCTGATACCACGAAGGAGTTAGAGAAAAAGAAGTCCTCCACTAGATAGCCAAGTAGCAAGCAATCGACAAAAGAGCCATTAAACAAGGTGCCTTCGCCCCATAACTCCAAGGAGCCCCTCATCATCAAGAGGGTGGATGGTGAAAGATGGTTGATGGTCTAGAATAATTAACTCATTCGAAGCTATATATATTGAATGATAAATATGCCAAGTTCAAGATGGTTGATGGTGAAAGTGTGCCGGAATTGTTCCACCGATTCAATGTGATTGTGAATGAGTTGAGGAACTTGGGATTCAAGGTGGATGACGAGGATTTATCACACAAGTTCTTACGAAGATTGCCATCAAGATTCAAGGGCCATGACTCTTGTGACCATCATTGTGAGAGGAGGATTGAAGGATCTCACTCC